CATCCGCCCATTCAATTCTTACGACTAAACGAACGTACACGTTCATTCCCAAGGGTCTCAAGAACACCTATAATAAGAGATCCAAGGGAGAATCGTTTAATCCATCGAAATCCGCTTGTATCCTTGGAGAATCCAAAGACATCATGGCTTCATCATCTTTGCCATCAACGTTTGGTTTCTCCTCAACCGGTTAGTTTTCTTATTGTTTGATTATATGAATTTTATCATGTTTAGTGAGATGATCCTATTTGGGACTGAATTTCTCAACATGATTTTCATGGTTTATTAATGACTAATAATGCCTAAATGAAAATACTATTGATATGAGTAAGTGAAACATGATATACAAATTTAGAATAAATTGTGTGTGATTATGTGATATGAAAGTGATGGCATGATGATGGGATTAACTATGAAATGTTGTGATAAAATATACTTTTACTTCATGTAAGGATTTCATGAATGGATAAAAGTGATATTTTTTATATTGAGATTAAATCATATTTGGATTGGAAAATCAATTGAGATGAATTATTTGGCTATGAATTAAGAACTTGGTTGTTCTAAGATTATCCGACTAGTATTGAAATAGTAGTCGGGAGTTTAATATAAATAAATGATGTAATTAATCCTAAGAGATAGGATTGTGAATAGAGATGCCTTAAGTAGTCTTAAGAGATACTTTAAGGTCTAATTGTACGAACACTAAGGTGTGTTAGGGGTGGGCCTAAAGGCTACCCAAGTGAATTGATTCTAGGCATAGGATTTGCTTGAGAATTGGACTATGAAAATAAATTAGAGTCGGACTCTAGGATTGCATGGAAATGTAGTTGGGCCGAGCTCTTGCCATGTAATGTGATTAGCATGGAAACGTAGTTGGGCCAAGCCCTTGCCATGTATTTGTGATCTTCGTGGAAACGTAGTTGGGTCGAGCCCTTGCCATACAATTTTGATGTGTTAAATTGAGTTAAAGGATTGTATAGAAATGTAGTTGGACCGAGCCCTTGCTATACAATGGGGGCACGATGGAACCCTATGGGGTTATCGTGGCTTGTGGTCACGGGGAATGAAAATGGTAAATTCTAAATGAATATGGGCCCACGGGCCGACTACTTGACTTTATATAAAGTAAGTATATTTTCTAAAAGGGGGCAACTGAGGGTTATGGCCTATAATATAATATCACTCTAGATTGAGGGTCTTAGAAATTGAAACATTGATTATATTCAGTATAGTTGTCATTGTACTTTTCAAATGCTTCAAAGTACTGACCTGCCCTTCACGGGGGAGGCCACCTCACAGTTTCGGGTAGAAGTTGAGCTTGCTACCAGTTCCCGTTGCTTCAGGAAGATCTAGGAGAGAAGATGTGGTTCGTGCTTCCTCCGTTTCTGTTTCAAAAACAATTATAATAATGATCATGGATATTATTTTTGAATAATTATTTGGGGCTTGTATGCCTAAGTTTGCCAAGTGTGACTTGAACACTTGTATTAATGTTTCCGCTGCTTTAAAATGAGTATTTTACATTATGTTTGTTTATGAATGTACTACGTGTGAATGATATTCCAGACGCCTTGTATAGTATGGATGAGTTGGACTGCGGTTGACTATGTGTACTGTACGGTGGGTTGTTGACGTGTACGGATAGGTCCGGGGCGTGACAGGCGTCATTGTGTCTTCTCTAAAGAATGTTGTCGCACAAAATTCATACGAGCTCATGTTGTCGTCGTCACCTCCAAATGTAGCATGATTTCATCATCTTCGGGCACGAGTCTGTCGCAGGCCTGCTCAGGTTTGGTGACTTGTTGCTACTCCTTCCTCGTTCCCGTAGACTACTTGTCACCTACGCTGCCGCCAAGAAAGACCGACTTGTTCCCGACTTCCCTCCGAGCAGTCCATGCATCCCCTTGCTTTGTTACCCTCCATCGGATTTGGATCCTCTACCGCATGACAGAGGTGCCTTGTGCATCTAATGGGCAACAACAACAGGGGGAGAGCTTGGGGAGGGGGAGTGTGGATCATTCGGTTGTAATAGGCCAGGCACCTTACTCGGCTTCTAAAGCCAAGCAGAGAATCCTGACCCCCTCCATCCCCCCGCTCCTCAAATGCTGAAATTGCAAACCAGAAAAACGCTAATTGCATGAAGCGCGGCTCCAAAACGCTACTCTCTCAATTGAGCTCTGATGTAACTTATAATCCTAGATGCTATACTTATGATGAAAACTGGTGTGTGTTTTTTTAAGTGTGTTTATGTATTGTACAATTATGTTTTTAATAAAATCTTCCATTAAAAAGGTACAATTATTATGTTTTAATGTTTTAATTAACAATGACTATCATCAATGAACCAAAAGTGATAGAGAAAGTAACTAATAATACCAACTATCATCTATAAACCAATAATAATACATACTTTTTTGGAAGAAGCACTAGTGCAAAATATGGATTTAATGTTGGTTCATATATAACCGTTATTAAAACCACACGCGGGGTAAAACCGCATTAAGGTGGCTTAAATTGATATCACAACATTCAGATAGGGGACAAACATATAAAAGGACCACTCACAACCGTCGGCCCTCGAACTCGACTTAGAAACAATCACCTTCCAGACCTCTCATCACCCAATCCTAATGCAAAGTATGGCAGACCTCTCAACATAAAAACCAACAATAAAAATAAAAATAACAGTATTAAATTTCAGTTGCATCCCCAGCACCACGAGGAGTTTCCCCTTTCTTTCCATGCCACGAAGCTTCTTTCGGCTCACCCAGAGCCATGCCATCACCAATCGAATTCTTGTGCTCTTGTTCCTCCCACAGCCTTCTGCGTTTCTGGTCTCGAGGAATCTCCTCCGTACTAGTTGTTCCTACATCCCCAGACTTATTTTTAGCAGAATCAGCCACAGTGATGACCCAATTCTCTGTCTTCCCGCCTCTGTTCGTCCAGCCATTCCATTCTCTCTATCCTACTTATTATCTTGCTACTTCGAGCTCATACCTGCCGATGAGGATCCCTTTGGAACCAACCACTTGTTGTCCCTGAAGAGCCCCCCCCCCCCCCCCCAGGTTGTCCAACACTTTATTTTCACTCTCATGCAAAACTTGTATGAGCATGGCCAATAACAACGCATGCAAAGCAAAAACTAGGTAGTTTTTCATATTTAAAATCACCCGGTGTCCAACTCCCTACCCTCTTCCTAAGAATTGTACCAACCTTCATAGGGAAAATTCCCTCTCCATAGGGCCTCTGATTCTCATATAGGCTTCACAAGTTCCTTCAAACTGACTTTCATCCAAAAAAGATTCTGTTTAAATTCCAATAAAGTTCTCAATTCTCCTAGTCACTTCTAAACTAGTCATGTATCCATATGTTACATTATGCACCTGGACCCAAAATTCAGCCCCATTTAAAGGTACCCTAAGGGGGATATCCCCCTACATAACTGCCCTAAGGATCAACAGATTATGTTTAAACAACCACGACCCACTCTCCAACACACGTTGCATACCAACAACATGATAAAAAGTAAACAAATACCTTTTCTCACCGATATCTTTGATTTAGACTCCTTTCCCGGGACGCCATAAGGAAGCCATAAGGTCCCTGAATACCTGGAATTCCCTAAGAAATGTACCAACAACCGGAAACACTGCCCTATGCTCGGTTACCTCCCATTCCCAATCAACCTCTTAGTTGAATATCAGGTCCTCCTTGTCCCCCTGATAGCCATGTTATCGTACTTATTGACAATGTCCTTCATCTCATTCTGCCCTGAACACCTTACCCAACTGGAGATGAAGAACTCGGTCAAATTGATTGTGGCCCACCTTCACTTGTGATTCACGAGTTGCCTGACCTGACCAGGGATGAAGAGCTCAGACTGATTATGGAATTCGCCTTAACCAGCGATTCAATATCGCCGCTCTTCGCCGAAGGTGACGAGGCGAACGGGAGACTCTCAAAACCCTACTAAAGGGAGATGGTCGCAATCCCAATGCTGGGGTAGATAACTGCCTTTAGCTTTTTATAACAATACCTACTTTAAAATGATTTCTAATAATACCAAGTTTACCAACTATTTAAATGTAGAACAAAACTAACATTGAATCATTTTTCTACAAGAAATCATATCATTTAGGATGTTTTTACTTGGACTATAATTCATCCCAGACCAGACCAGTTCAGACCAGACTTGGATAGTTATAAAAATACAAAGAAACCAAACCAGACCAGACCAATTCAGACCAGAACAGCAAATTACAGTCCAAGTAAAAACATCCTTAATACACCAAAAATTAATACACCAAAAACTAATATCAAACCGTCAAATAAATAATATTTGGATGTAGAATCACTTATTTGATAATTAGATATTAGTTCATGTTGATTGTTGAGTTAAAGGAATGAATTGTTAATGAAAACTTGTCTTGTATCACTTATTGATGGACTCGGGCCGAGTGGCCCGACCCGGAACCAGCCCGGGACCGGCACTGTTCCGGCCCGGCCCGACCTGGTGGCCCGATCAGTGACCGGTCCGGGTAGGCCCGGCCCGTGGGTTTTCCGGTCCGGGCTCGGGTCACCCAAAACAAGGTCCGACCCGACCGGGCCCGAGCCCGGTTCGGGCCAAAAAAAAAAAATTTGTTTTTTCAATTTTTTTTAACTTTTCGGGTTGGACTGGGTATTTTGGGCCATTTGGGGTGGTTTGGGAGGTTGGGGTGGGAGGGGGGTTAATTATGAAGAGGAAAACAAAAAAAATATATATAATGGGCCTGGCCCGGCCCGGACCCGGACCGGACCCGGTGGTTACCCGGGCCGGACCCGGACCGGACCCGGTGGTTACCCGGGCCGGTCCCGGGTCCACCATTTCTGACCCGCCGGCCAGCCCGGGCCTAGGCCTGACCCGGACCCGGCTCGGACCCGAGTCCAACCCTAGTATCACTTTTGACATATATTCAAGTAGTTAGTAATATTAAAAATTATTTCTAAAGTACATATTATTTCTAAAGTACATATTCATTGAAGATGGGTTGTATTATTTAAAGTTTTTTCCCAAAGTAATATTATAACAATAAATTATCAATAATAACGGAGTACTATTATTATCATAACCAAGTAAACCAACTGGTTAAGAAACCATTTATTTTGACAAACGTGCTTATTGCTTTCAAATAGCCTACGGCCTACCAACATAATAATAATACTATTCAATAATCACACGATTAATGTGTGTGTACACAAAAATCGGCAAATGTGAAATCTGGAATCATCCAGCATCATCTAAGCAAGCCTTGTCGGAAAAGGCAAAAATCAATCTCCTTTCCTGATCAACATAAAAACAAGAGAATCTAGAGACCTCTTTCAAGCATTGCCCGAACCCTCATTGGGAGCCCATAAAGCCGAATAAACCCTGCCGCATCAGCCTGGTCATAGAGCTGTCCACTCTCAAACGATGATATGTCTTGTCTGTACAAACTGTAAGGGCTCTCACGCCCCGTCACCCTAACTGACCCCTTGTACAGTTTGAGTGTCACTGATCCGGTCGTCGTCTTTGTGATTTCCTTCATGAAAGCATCATACGACTCACGCAATGGATCAAACCACCTGCCAGCATACACTAGCTCAGCATAGTCCAATGCAATGGAATCCTTCTTTTGCATTGCTTCACGGCCAATCGTAAGTGACTCCAGCTCACGCACTGCAGCGAACAGGATTGTGCCACCTGGCGTTTCATACACGCCCCGGCTTTTCATTCCCACCAGACGGTTTTCAACCATGTCTACACGGCCAATTCCATGCCTCCCGCCAATTTCATTTAGGGTGGAGAGAAGGGTTGCGGGGGAGAGCTCCTTCCCATTCAGCGAAACAGGAAGCCCAGCAACTATCCCAATGTTAACATATCTACAAGGAAAACAAAATGAAAATGAAAGTGGAGCAGAAACAAATTACCAGAGCAAGATATGCATCATTTAGGACTAAAACATTAGCAGAAGGCGTTCTACCCAGTAAGGCAGATACTTCTGATTCAGTTTACAACAAATACAAGCATATAAGTTTTGCTCCCAGAGCAGTACTTAATAAAACAAGGCCTGAAAAGTGCTACCAAATAGGCAAATATATGCCCTTATGACCTAATTAACTTTTCTGCATTAAACTCAAACTCTCCGGCTCATTGACCACCTCACACCATCCCCACAGACCACCTGCATCAGGTCGGTAATCACTAACTTCGGCGTCACAAACCACCATCATCATCACTCCACTAACAACTACCTTCGGCTCCACTGACCACTGTCACTGAAATTCCTTGATCAGTGAAGATAAAGAAAGTGATCACTCAAGCCATTGGTGAAGGACATCATCATTTGGACTGAAATTTACTGGTCTTTTTAAATTTGCTCTGGTTTAGTATTATATACTCCCTAATAATAGTTCATATACTATTTTCTTGGATGTTCCTAACTAAAGTCTTATTTCCTCAACCGGTAAAGAAAATCCTATCAATTTACTCCACTACACTCAAATATCAACGTCTAACCAGTCACTCTAATAATATTTACACGGTAAAAAGGGCATTTCTAGAAAATAAAGAAACAATCTGATTTTCTTAAAATTGAATGTCAAACTAGGAACTTCATTAAGACAGAGGGAGTATATTTTATTATTACTATTTAATGATGGTTTAGTCTGATATAGACCGTATAATCAGGTCTAAGACTTAAATGAGTCCATGTGAATCGGACCTAAGAGCTCAATGGAGCTGGAGATAGTGGCAGAAGTGTTGGAACCGTGGTCAGTAGGCAGGAAAATGCTTGGTCTCGATACAAAAGAAGCTGGGGGTATACTGGTCAAATCAACCATTTTTTGGTCAAATGAATTTTACTAGTCATATTTTCAAAAATCAATGTACTATGTATATTGTAGTTTTACAACAAAAACATAACCCCAGTGCCGCAAAGACTCCCACCTACGGTGGGGTAGGGGGGTCGGATGTATGCAACCTTACCTCTGGACTAAAGCACAAAGAGACCATTTCCGGATAATCCATGGTCTATATATTGTAGTATTATGCATTAATTTTCTTTTTTCTAATGAAAGAGGTGTTTTCCGGCACACAAAGAACACCCTCCTATGTGGCATCATCTGATGATTCACCATCCCTGCTTTGGTTTAAATTTTCATTTTGCTTTCATAAGATGGTACCACATAGGATTTTAACACCATGTGCCTTCATTCCTTGAGAATTTCAAGAGATTCAAAGAAACGAACTCAGGCTGATCAGGAGCCTCTTCTGGGTCAACCGACATCATGTACATATCCTTGTTCGGCTCATTTGCAGGATCCTCTAGAATATCACCCTGCAATATCATTTTGAGTACAAGTGTTTTAATGGTTTGTTCATTACCAAAATATAGTGATATGGTATATTAGGTCCAGGGCATATATTATTAGATGTCATCTTTATGATTTTTATACATTCAATACACCACTTGATTCAAAGCTAGCTCTACAAATTTGATAGATGTGCAACCTGTGAGAAACAATCAGACAACAACACAAACTTTTCTATGTCAAGATTCAGCAAACAAAAATATAAAAGGGAAAAGTGTCAAACAGGCCCCCTACTAGTACCCGAACTCAAAAAACACCCAATTACACTCACGAACTATAAAAAACGAGTCAAAACGTCTTTTTAATAGGTAGCCTCCCGGTTCCCGGTTAAATTGCATATGTGGCGGATGACATGGCATGCCTTTTATTTTTCCTTTCCTTTTTTTTCTTTTTCTTTCCTTTTTTACCTTCTTTCTTCCCTGCTCCGTTTGTTCTTCAACGCTAAACCTTTGTTTCTTTCTTCCCTCCACCGTTTCTTCTTCGCCTGCGACTCCTCTATTTCTACTTGTTCCTTCTTTTTCTCTCCCAGGTTTTCTGAACTCGAAAATGCTCAAACATCCAGATCAATCTTCATTTGAGTTGCAAGGAAATCTGTCTCCTCTTGTCGGATGACCAGCAGGGGTTGGTGAGCTCCGGCAACAACTCAAACCTCCGGATTCGCGACGGAGTTGGTGGCCCTCCGGTGGTGAGAGATTTCCAAGTCGGCGGCGACGGATTTCCAGGTGGGCAGCGACGGATTTCCAGGTGGGCGGTGGATTTCCAGGTGGGCGGTGGATTTCCCTCTTGAGGCCATCGCCGGTTTGAAGCCTAGGTGAATTGTCGTTCGTCTTCCCCCAGGTCGGAGTGTTGGACAACGTACTACTCGGCGGACAACTCCTTCAGGGAGATTCGAAGAAGAGACGAACTAGGGAGCAGAAAGAAAAAGAAGAAAAAAAAGAAAGAAAAAGGAAAAGGCACACATGTGTCGCCACGTGTTGCCAGTCGCCACGTGTGAATATTTACCTGCAAACCTGTTAATTACCTGCTAAAAAGATGTTTTGCCTCGTTTTTTATAGTTCGTGGGTGTAATTGGGTGTTTTTTGAGTTCAGGTACATAATTGACATTTTTCGTATCAGTAGGGGCCTATTTGACACTTTTCCCATTATAAAAACAATTTAATTCAAATCTAAAGAAGTTGACCTAAAATCCCATATAAATGCTCACAAGATAAAATGGCATTGGAGTCAAAGAATGGAAGTTGTAGATTCTTGGCTTGGATGTCTTTTAAATGCACGTGCCTGGAGTAAGCTATAAGTTTTCACCAAAAGCAATCGAAAAAGAAATGTTTACCTCATGACTCAGATGCCAAAGGTTCCTATCTCTGCTGTAGATGGACTTTTTTGTCACAGGAACAGGTACATTATGTTTCTTCGCATATTCAATAGCATCTTCTCTTCCCCTAATTTCCCACTCTCTCCAGGGGGCAACCACACTAAGTTCAGGATTCAGAGCAAAGAAGGTAAGCTCAAACCGGACCTATAAATATAATCAAGACGGGCTTTTTTAATATGGAATCGAAGACCAGAGAGAACAAATAATAAATAATAATGTTACGCATGCCTGATCATTTCCTTTCCCTGTGCATCCGTGAGAAACAGCATCAGCTCCAACTTCTCTAGCAACATCAACCATAGCCTACAATCGTATTTAAAAAATGTGAATGTAGACAACAAGGAGTCGATTCTTAAGAACGATTCTTATCAGACAAAACCTAGGAGATAGTTTGTTTAAAGTTTCACATGAACAAAACGTGTGAAATTATTCAATGCTGCAGAAAAAGAAGAGTAAAACATCACCTTAAAATGTACAATTATGTTGACTCAAAACCTGTGTTATCTAATCGGCGAGTACTCGGCGAGTACTCCCTACTCGGGCTCCTACCTTGCAGAGTAGCACCTTTACTCGGCCCGAGTTAATTATCCGAGTTACTCGCCGAGTACTCGGCGAGTTAGTCAGCTCGGTGAGTTGGTCAAATGGGCGAGTTACTCGCTACTACTCGGTGTATTAAAAAAACTGCGCACAAAACCTAAAAGTCTAAAACTATTTTAAGCGGTCATATTTTGGGGCTTCGACCAGTGCTGCTACATCGTTAGGAGCTGCGACTGGCAGTGTCGGTCATCTTTTGGGGCTTCGACCAGTGCTGCTTCATTGTTTGGAGCTGTGACTACTAGAAGCTGCCAGTTCTACGAATCTACAGTGCTGCTGGGAGTCACCTGCGAGTGCTACAGGGTTGCTGCGAGGTGCTACAGGTAATTTGTTCCCTCGTTTCTTCTTCCTCTTGTTAAAAAAAATTAAATTGGGATTATTCAAACGGCTGCAGCCGAAATTGTTGACCATTGAATTCCCTGCTACTAAGTTCCTTAGTTATTATGTTACTGAGGCATTAAGTTCCTTTTATTCTATGTATTAAGCATTGATTTTTATATTAATTTTTCCTTGGCAAGTTGGCAGTGTCTGTGTTTGGAGCTTCGTATATTCCCCTCCCCTGTCTGGCTGTCTCGTTTCTTGTTCTAGTAGTAGTAACCAAAAGTGTATCATTTTATTAACAAGCTCTTACAAATGTCTCTGCAATCCAAAACATGCTGACATGTTGTAAGTTTTAAGCTTACTATAATTTATACACTTAGGAAGCTTTAGCTACAATTTTTTTTTCACAGAATGTAAGCTATTTTGATGTACATTTTTGTTTGGAGTTGCTAAGCTGAATGGTGTGACATTTCTATCTAGTTGAGATACTATATCCTATTCCAAATTATTTTTCTCGTTCATTATTAGGCAGTCAAACCTGTTCTTTTTTTAATCTGGTTTTATGTACTAAGTTTCAAGGTGCATACTATTATAGTCTCCATGAAAAATACACATCTAATCTGGTTTTATTAGATGATTGACTGCTTTATCACTTTCGTTTTATGACTTTTGCTACACCATCATTAGGATAATAGGATTTCTATCCTTTTATTCACTTCTATGCATTTTAAGACAATTTAAAGACTATTTTAAGACTACTATATTTCTGTAATATAGGGCACCTATATTATTATATTTAATTAATACAAGGCCGAGTAATCACCGAGTAATCCCGAGTAATCGGTCCTACTCGCTACTTGGCCCTTGACCGAGTTGCTACCGAGTAGCGAGTAAATAACATAGCTCAAAACCCTTCAAAGATTTACAAACCCCTACCCATCTATATGCACCCAAATGCAGAAAGTAGAAAGTAAATTTTATGATTACATAAGACATTGGTTACTCAAGGTATATAACAGTCAAAACCCAAAACTTTTAATGGAGATGCATGCACGAAATGGAGAAAGTAATAGCATATAATTCTAGTTTCTCAGAGTCCTTGCACTTCACACCTTCGCAATTACAGGGCGTGCCATTGAGGTCCCAAGCAAATACTTCCTCTCATAAACAGCACCAGCACGTAGGCAAGGATATATGTAATCCTTCACAAATTCCTCCTTCAAATCCTTCACAACCAATTGACAAGCTCCACTGGCTTTGGCCTTCTGCTCCAGTCCTTCCAATTCAATGTCCCCCTAAGGAAATTAATAAGGAGTCACAAGTATAATCAGTTTGTAAATCATCAACTGCTATACACAATTCTAAGCATGAATATTTTTGAATGAAAACATACTTGACCAACATCTGCGGTGAAACAAACAACTTCACAGCCATAGTTTTCCCTGAAAGTAAGGTACTTATGGTATCAGGTAGACATGTACAACAAATAAATAACGTTAACAGATTGCATAAGAAATGCTAAAGTTAATGAATCTGCCAATGTGTGAGAATAAATTTTAGGTGGCAGCCATTGGACATTTAAAGCTTATTCTTAATCAGTTAATCTTTGAGTGAAGGGTTTTATGAATTGCACACTTGAATATGTTGAAAATCCAATCACATAGTTCTTCAGGGAGATCATCCTCCAAAACATGCACCGCTTTGCAAAAATAAACTTTTTTGAATTAGATAAATTGAACGCCAACAATGTTTTCAAACTAGAGTTACTAGACATGGTACTAACGCTTAGTCATACATTCCACAGTGAACCCTTTGAACATTAGCCAGAACAATATAAACAATCTCTGAACTTTAGTATTAGGCTGCTGCCTGCTGTATAAGCCATCATCTCTCATACTGAACTTTGTGCACAGGAAAATCCAACAAATTATAAGTTCATATATGTTATTAACATCAACAGATTCACTAACGGTCAGTCCAGACTCCCTTCAGATTTACCAAGGATGGATTCCAAAAGTCTCTCCAGCCTGTCCCGCGAAGGTATAGGGAGTCTTCTCTCACTTCTTTTATTAATTAAATATTTAAAAACGTGGGCCAGCGAGCGGTGCACTAAATGAAATATCCCAACAGTGTTATTTTACCTGGTGTCAAGATGCTATTTTACCTTTTTCTCAATTCACTAACCTTGCACCTTGATTGAGGCGCACTATGTGTTGTACACCTTTAGTATTTAGCATTCCATTTTGTCCACCAAGTTATCAAATGAAAAGTGTGCTATCAATTGTCCATACCTTAGCCAAGGAACGATAACAGAAGTATCCAAACCACCACTATAAGCAAGAACCACTTTATTCAATTTTTTAGCAACTTGTCTCTCAGCGCCAGCGTCACTCCCACTTGTCAAGGCTGCCTGGATGGCTGCAACATTCAGGAATAATTATTATTTCTAAGAAATGGTATCACCAGTCTTCTGGATAACAAACAAAGAACTTGAAGGAAATATTGATGGGGTGACCATGAATTATATATGCAAATAACAGAAACTCAAACTCAAACAAAGTAAGAGAGTACCAATTAGTCAATTACCATGACAGTTCTTTCTCAAACTTCAAGTGAATGCAAACTGTGCAAACAAAGAAATTGAAGGAAATACCGATGGGGTGACCTTGAATTATATGTGCAAATACCAGAATAGTCGAAAGACACAAACTCAGTTCAACAGTACCACGACAGTTCTTTCCCATCAAGCGACACAAACTGTGCAACTAAATAACACTCTTTTAAAGATTAAAATAGTGAAAAAACACTAACTTTATATTAGGTATTTAGGTTTGGTGTAGATGTTATTACACTTCAGACATTATAAAATGCACAGCGAATAAACAATCTAAAATATGACGGAACAATCACTTGAAACTGCAGTTGAATATACAACTTGCAAATAAATTTTAGTAGAAAATTTACAACTTACATATAAATTTTAGTAGAAAAAATTACGAAAATCAAATGCTTGAATTAATAAGAAATTGTAACATTCCATATTTAACTTATACAACTTCTTTGTTTCACCTAACATCTCAGATAATTCACAGCATGTGTTTAAATAAATACGTACAGATTACTAATTAAACTAGATTTAGGGTGGGCCTTAGGGCCTAGTTCTGCCAATGAATGTATGTTTCAAGTTCAGGACTCCAGAGTTCTTGATGAGATGTATCCCCAATAACCGAAACGGATATATGAAAATTTGGCATTCATAAGGATTACAAGTGATTTGACATGCTTCTTAAGTGATTTGATAATAGCAGTGCTATAGAAGCTATGACCGCACTTCCAACATCGATAATCTTTAAAAGAAAATTCGCATTTCAAGTTTCAACTGAAGGAAGACATACCAAAAAAATACATGTATACTAGGAATTAATGGTATGGACCAAGAATTAACTGTATAGACAAAGCTCTGAATGTTTACATTAGTGATTGCACATTTCCAATCTGTCTGAATAACTTTCCTAACAAACCTTCAATTGCTAGCGATAGAGCTATCTTACTCACCTCAAGAACATTGAAATGTTTAATACTCACATTATTCAATAGTCGGAATACAAATGTTATATATTTATTTCCCCAATATGGTTGATCTTAAAACCTGATCTTCGACAAAAATAACACTAACCGTCTTTTGAATGGCGCAAAATAAAAGGTTGAAATCTACAGATGAAAGTATGAAACTCACAATGATTATTACGGGACAACGCTAACTTCACACTCCTCTGGACAAATGAATGGCCAAGAGAATCACTAGCTTTTGCCACGAGCTAGCAGAACCCGAACACATAGTGTAAGTAAAATGTATTGTTGCCTCTTAGACTTAGAGAGACAAATAAAGTTAAAAATAACCTCTTGCATTGAAGTGGACTTCCGTGAATAGCTTAGTTTGTCTTCAAATCTATATGAATCTAATACACAAAATTTAAACGCGTTTTCTACTGTAAAGCTTCGGCTTAAAACAGCTAATGTGAAGCAGAAGATTAAAGATAGAACTACAGCAAAGATACTCACTTTTGGTCATTGATCCTCTGGTAACCGGATTGACCGGAGAACACGAAGAGATTGCCTGAAGCTGAGCCATCGACTCTCTGACTCAGTAGCAGATTAGGCCCTGCTTCACGTACGGCTGCTCGATAAAAAATAAAATAAAGCTAATGCATCAAGATTAGCAGTGGTGCTAAGGGGGTGTTTGGAAATGATTTTGCTTCAGCTTCTATTTCTAAAGAAGAAGCGGAAGCAGAATTTTCTGCTATATGAAAAAGTGATGATGGGGCTGTTTATTTTTTTTCATTAAGTCCTCTCTGGATTAAGACGTTTGTCTGGATTAAGAGTTTGTCAGTATTAAGACAAAGTGACACTAGTATAACAAGTTGTTTACTATGTGTGTTGAATGAATTGTCTGAATGATATCCAATTACCTATACAATAAAATAAACAAGCTAAGAGGATTGCATTATATATATGTTCCCCCATCTATATGCTAATGTTTTTACCGAAGTGCTGCACTCTTAACATCGGAGGATCTAAAGAGGCGGTCAGTTTGTAGGTGATTTTGTGCTTGGCATGATTCTTGGTGAGATTAATGTTGCTGATTTTGATTGAACTATTTTCAAAATGAAAGTAATTTCACACACACATATATGTATATATATAATAACAAGCAATAGCCGATTTTCATTCTTGGTGACATCTTCTTCTTCCTATAAATATTTCTCCTAATTTTATATTTTCTGGGTAAAATCCTCCACACAATTATTTAAAAATCGTTTTATTTTTATCCTAATTTATACTCCTTTATTTCAAAACTAGAAAAATGAGTTGAAATATTTTTATGAAGTATTTATCCTAAATCTATGAAAAAAGTGTTCCTCCTTTAAGATTTCAATTGAACATCCAGGACTACTCCTTTGTCATACTAAAAATCGTAGTACATGAAGTATATTTTCCAGAAAATTGAAACTAATGAGATTGAGCATATAAACAAACTCTTTAATCTATAAAATCATAAGAAAAATACGTAGTACGGAGTATAAATTTAGAGAATACCTAGATGAAGACAGGGGGGTATAGCTTTGGTCGCTACTTCCGTAATACGCTTCTGGCGATGGAAGAGTCGGCGATGTCGAGGTGAAGAAGAAGAAGGCGGACGATTTGGCCGCTGAAGACAAGTGAAGAAGCAAGTGTCGGCAATGAAGGCAGGACCAGGGTTTTTCGTGGTGAGAAGATGCAAGACTCGATTTTAAAGTAGAATTGAGTCAATTGACCAGAGTGACTGACACAGAAAATATTCGTCGAAATGGACGGTTTAAAAGAAAAAGTGTTTCTTTCTTCAATTTTGCTTTGGGTACACACTTATCATACACACACATACACACTATAAATAACTTAAAAAATTACTTTTTTTACCCCCCTCCTACCACACGTGCAAAACAGAGTCTGCAAAACAACCCCACCCTCCCTCCTCCCTTCCCGCTTCTTGCTTTCTTTCTTCTTCCCGCAACAGCACCCAACTGCACAATTGGTTTGTTCTTCTCTTCAAACCAATGGATTTTGGTGGTATTGTGAACGAAACCATCATTGATACTACCGTGGACGACTTTTGGGCCGATTGGGATCAAACGATTGGTGGTTCTCGAGTTGAAGGACAAATTCCGTTGGCGGCGGAAGTTGATGGCGACTCGGCGGCGGCCGCCATGGACGACGTCCCTGAGCTTGGTATGAGTTCGTTTTGATTTCATTTGCTTTAAAGTAAATATATATGTGTTTGTTCTTCACAGACAATTGACTGTATTTGTGTAGTGTTTATGTGAATTGTATAATATGTTTGTGTGTATGTTTCAGTTGTATGAGTGTTATTATACAACTGTGAAGTGTATTGACTTTTGTCTGTGTAAATAAAGTTTAAATTTACTTATGTCTGTGAGTACATGTACTTCTGTTTGAAATGTCTGTGTGTAAATATAATTGTGTCTGTGTGTATATATACTTCTGTCTGTGCGTAAATAGACCACTGCCTATGTGCTTAAATATACTTATGTCTGTGCATGTTGGTAGGATGGAGAAATTCAGCAAAATGAGAGTGGTGTTGGTTCTATAAAAGCTCCAGAGGTTGGTATGGAATTTGATAGCAAAGAAGCGGTGTATGATTTTTACAAAACATATGGGAAGCATTTAGGATTTCCCGTAAGAACTAGGAGTACCACCAAACACAAAAATGGGGTGGATATAGTTGGAGTGTTACTAGAGTGTTCTCATGCCGGTAGTAGATCTAGTAGGTCAAAAAATCAATTGAAGCCTCAACCTTCAATGCAAATGGGGTGCGGAGCAAGAATACGAGCACACACAAATTATGAGGGACGTTGGGAAATATCAAAAATCTGCCTTGATCATACCCATCCCATGAGCCCAACAAAGGCTCGCCTGTTCCGGTGCCATAGGACTTTGACTCCCCAAGCAATGAGGCAAATTGCAATCAACGATGTCGCCGGAATACGACTTCATAAGACCTTCAATGCAGCCGTTGTTGAAGCCGGTGGATATGACCAACTTCCTTTTATTGAAAAAGATTGTAGGAACTACATTCAAAAGGTAAGACAACTTAGGTTAGCGAGTGGTGATGCCATGGCAATTCAAGAGTTCTTTGCTAAAATGCAAGCTCAATGCCCCGGATTTTTCTTTGTCCTTGACTTAGATGACGAATCTCGATTGCGTAATGTGTTTTGGGCCGACAACCAATGTAGATATGCGTACAAAGAGTTTGGAGATGTCATCACTTTTGACACGACCTACCTCACGAATCGGTATGACATGCCTTTTGCACCTTTTGTGGGAGTTAATCATCACGGTCAATCAATTTTGCTTGGATGCGGATTAATCTCTAATGAAGATACGCAAACATTCGTATGGCTCTTTAAAGCATGGCTAGAGTGTATGGAAGGACGTGCTCCAATGGGCATTATTACGGACCAGGACCGTGCAATGCAAAACGCCATCCAAATTGTTTTCCCAAATACAAGACATAGATGGTGTTTATGGCATATTATGAAAAAGGTACCGGAAAAAATGGGAGGAATTACAGAAAAAAAAAATCTTGGATGCTATTCACGAATCGATTTATGACTCTCAATATGTTCCAGAATTTGAGCAAAGGTGGAAGGACATGATACAAAGGTACCCTTTATTTCCTAAAAAAAATGACGCATTACAGAAGCAATTTGTCTGTGAACTAAGTTTATATTCACATCACAGACAATGTATGTGTACTACACAGACATTATAATGTTTGTGGAACTAGAGCTTATTTGTATGATCATGGCACATACGACTTATTTTACTGCACTTACATTTGCAATGTACCACACAGACACATTAATGTTTGCGGGCACAAAACACATTGTATATGTGCTAAGATTGCGTGCCCATTCCAGAGAGGTATTGTCTGTGTATGAAAGAAATTTGTATGTCACAGACATAACAAATGTACAGCACAGACACAATAGTGTCTGTGCTGTACATAGTATATGTAATTGATGTATATTGTTTAATGTTATTTCAGGTATTCCCTTAAAGACCATGAATGGCTTGCAGTGATGTACAATGAACGACACCGGTGGGTACCATGTTTCTTAAAGCCAAGCTTCTGGGCGGGTATGTCTACCACTCAACGAAGTGAAAGTATCAATGCTTTTTTCGATGACTTTGTAAATTCGAAAACTACTCTTAAACAATTCGTTGAACAATACGGACGTGCACTGCGAAGTAAGGCAGAAAAAGAATTTCACGCCGATACAAGTTCGTTTGCAAAAACGATTCCTTGTGTTACATCATTTGAAATGGAAGAACAAGTCCAAGAAATTTACACCCTAGCGAAGTTTAAGGAGTTTCAAGATGAACTTGTAGGTACATTATATTGTGATCTCCTACAAAGCGAAGGTGATACAAAATTTAATGTAAAGGAGGTCCGAAAGATTAATGGGTTTCGAAAGACCATTAACTTTGTTGTAGAATATGACCCATTGATTACTTTTGGAATATGTAGTTGTCACTTGTTCGAATTTAGGGGTACGGTTTGTAGACACTTGATTGTGGTCTTACTTCGCCTTGAATTGGAGCTCTTGTTCTTCTTCGCCTTGTTCGAAAAGGATTGTGGTCATACCATTCCTTTTTTTATTTCCACCTAACCATTGAACCTTCTCCTTCATCATCTGGAAAGTGATATCCAGTGATCCATGAAAGTATGTATTAGCAATCTCTCCTGGTTCTTCCTCTTCTTCGGCTTGTTCATCATCGTTGTCACTATCTTCAGCCACAACAGGCCTCGGGGCTGCCACAGGTAATCCGGTTATGCGGCAGAAGTCGTTGTACGTAAACTCTATAAGTTTACCCTCAACATTGAACCAAAGCTCATCATCGGGTTGCTGCTTCACCAGTCGTAACAACAACATGTGGACTATTTGGCCACAAAACTGGATATCAGGAATATCAATAAAGTGACCCCATGGTGTCTGCCGGAAAATTTGCAATTGTTTCTTAGATAGTATCGCATGAATGTACTTAGAAGCACATTTCACATCTGAGCACACAGAATACTGTGCAGGGAAATGCTTGCTCAAAGGAATCTGGAGTTGAAGTGCCCTATCATTGTAAGAAAATAAACCATAACTACACAGACATATGTCAAATTACACAGACAAGCTTTCAGTTACATACAGACAAACAATCACGCACATAGACATATGTTTTATTTGCACCTGCTTTTGTCTTATAGCATTGTGTAGCAGTACAGACATCATATTAGTCACACAAACATATCAAAGAGTAATACAGACAATCATATAAGTCTTCACAGACAAATAGAGGCAGGGCCGATTACATATACGCTCACACAGACAAGCACTTAGACAAATCTATCTTCATATAAGTCTTCACAGACAAATAAAGGATACATACCTTTCGGCCATGGTTGATAGCGGGTTCGCACCGTTTTCGACGGAGACCGGGAGGAGGGTTCGCAGCGAATGCGCCGCGACAACAGTCTTAGACTGTGGTTGACGGGGTTAGCGGGGTGGAGGGTTTCCTTCGACGGAGGGTTACAGGGGAGAAGGAGGCTGGTCTTCGACTGGGGTTGACGAGGTTAGCGGGGTCGAGGGTTTCGAACGTCGGGGGGGTTACAGGGGAGAAAGCTGGTCTTCGTCGGGGGATTAATCGGAAGAAACAGAGCAAGGGAGAGGGGAAGCAACGGAGAAGGTGGGGATGCGGGAAAATTTTGGAGCGGGTGTTTTTTTGAAGTGTTTTGAAATTGGTTGAGGGAAAGGGGGGTAAATTATTTTTGGGGGTATTTATAGTGTGTATGTGTGTGTATAGAAAGTGTGTAACAATAGACTTTTTGTTCTTTCTTTTCGTCGTACCAAAAAAAGGTGTTCCTTTTACGATTCAGGAGCATCTTTCCTCACTCTAGTAGTACAAGAATAATAGTACGAAAATTTTGATTTGTACACAAAATTTATTTATATTTCGGATACATTTCTATGTATTCATCTATGCACATAGATAATATGTACACCCCTATTTGACCAGGTATATACACTATATAGGCAACTCGTGCAATATTGTATGTGTGCATAGAGAAATATCTACAAATCTCGTGTTTACCAAGAATTATTGTAATAGGAGTGGATCAGTCTCGGTCCCAGACCAATTGGTCACAGTTATTAAATATGGAGGCCCAAAAATGACCTGAATAATACGGGTCTCGGTCCCGTCCACGGTCACGAGTCAGTTTTTTATCAGCAATATAAATAAAAAATGCTACACATTGAAAATAAAAATGTAGATTTATTTGAAAACATTACATTAACGTAGACTTTTGCAAATTACAGTCGAGAATAGTTACATTACATATATTTTCTATTCTTTGAAACTTCTGCTTCAGGCGTCGGTTGTCGTTACCTCCATGAAGTGACAGGGCGGTGTTGTGTTAATTTCTTGAGTTCAGTGGCGGCCCTTCAACCAATCATGGAAGCAAATGAGCGTCAAGAGATTGTGCATTCAACCTCGTTTTATAATAGAATGTTGTCGGCCTCACTGAACTATTGTTCCACAGCAACCATTAAACCCGACAGTGAGAGCACTTGTTTCGTCATTTTTATAAAATCGGGAACATTCTTTATTTGTTCTTCCACCATTGAAGAATGTCAAACTCTTTCCCTTCTTCATACACAACGTGAAACGTTAGATATAAGGAAAACTCGTTAATCGAGTTTTGTGCAACGACAAAAGTAGAATTACTTTTCAAAAGATTAGATATTATAGATTTAAAAATAAATTATATCAATAATACCTATATGATGATCACTAAGTAGTGAATGATATTTGTCACATTAATTGGTGATTTTGAAGATACATTGAATTCTATTTTCTTAAGTAATTGTGAGTTTTGAGTAAATTGTATAAAAGTTGAGGTATAAGTTAATATTTTAATAAAAAAGAAAACTTCAGTAAGCTTTCTGCAGCAAAATATACTACGTACTAAGGCTTAATTGCACTGAAGTATGGTTGATTTTTTTTGTATATAAAAGTGAGGCAAAAAATCACTTCATAAAACTAATATTTTCTCATGTATGAATTTTAGAAAGGCTATGCACATGTTTTGAAATATTTAAAATTGTGGGGGCGCTTAGCTAAATTTTTATTACCAACCTCATTCAGTGAAAATGAGCTTTATAACTTCTAGTTGCTTTTTCATAAGCTAAAATAGTGGAGCATATATATGATTTTTTAAAATTGAAAAAATAGTGTGCTAGTGTGCAATACTTTAAGCTACACTATTGTTGATATTAATGTGATCGATTTTTGGAGAATGTGTACACATTAAATTATGCATGTGTGATATTTGTTTATATGTTGCTGAATTTTTTATATGCTTATTTTAGTGTCTATATTGAGTTGACTAGCATCGGCACGCACTTTGCACGAGGGTTGATGCCCAATGGCGAACATTTGGCCAATATGAAGGAAGCAAAATTAATCAACCATATAATATTAACATAAACGAGAATACAATGGACAATAGTAGAAACAAAAAACATTTATAGCATACATATTACAATGGGAATGTGGATCAAGAATTTGTCTTGGGGTACTATGACAGTGAAGCTACTACTGCTTGAGCATCTCCAATGCTAATACGTTAACTGTGTATACGTGGCATGAGAGATAGTCAATCATAAAACAATAATTAAAATATCTCTCTCCTTCTATGAAGGATCTTATATAACTTTGGTAAGTTTTTTTCACAATGTCAAGCACAATGTCTAGATGTAGACATTGTGGTTGACATTGCAGAGAAAAACTTACCAAAAACACATAAGACCGTGAAAAGATGGAGAGAGAAATGTCATAAAATCAATCTTTTGTGTCTATCTCTCTCTCATGCCACATGTGCACCGTGCACATCGTAGCATTGGAGATGCTCTTACAATGGGAACCAGTATGATATTTCTAGATTAAAAGATCCTCGTTCAAAAGATGCTTCACAAAGATATCACGCTCATTTGTATACAAATGGAACTATCTGTGATTTAACAAATCAGCCACGAGAAACTGAGGTGAGGTTTGTTTGCTCAGAGCCGAGGGCTATGGTAAGTTCCATTACTGAGTTATCCACCTGCAAATATGCTCTCACTGTTCATTGTCCATCACTCTGCAAGCACCCCCTCTTTCAGGAAGAAAGACCAGTGAGTCACGCCATTAACTGCAATGTGCTTCCTAAAGATTACAAAGAAATGAATTTGCGACAAGAAAACATTAGAGAAGAAAGGATTAGGATGGTGACAGATCTTGAGTATCCCCCTACATTTGATATAGAAGAGTATGCAACATGAGAAGTTTATTTGGCTCATGGTTTGATGTTCCTTCACTACTCTCATAGTCCTGGTCTTCTTCAAATTCTCTCATTTTGTTCTACTTTTATTTTTTATTTTCCTCATGCCATTTTCCTTGCTCTACTTCCAAACTCACTCT